TATGTTACTTATAATTTTTTATTTTTTATTTTAAAATAATAATCCACAATTATAATAAATTAAATAATTAATTAAAAAATTTATAATAATTAATAAATTAAAATTTTATTATATACGTCATTAAATTATTATTTATATAAATTGGGTTGGGTGGCCGGTCTTCACCCTAACCCAAAATTTTTTGGCAGAAGTTTTTCACTTTTAAGCAAATGCCCGATCTTGTAAGTTATATTCTTTGGTTTTCCTTATTTGCCCATCTCTTCTCCACAGAACCTCTTCCTTCTTCTTCCACCTCTTCTTTTTATCTCCAATTGGAACCAAACAGAAGAACTTGATTAGTAGAACCAGATAGCATTGTATGTAAAGAAGGGGAAAAAAAAAAGCAATCAGTGAAGAAGAAAGAACTAGATAACAGACCCTAATTTCAAGCATCCGTAGAGAGAGGGGACGCCGGGAGGCCGGCTGTTCAGTCGCAACCTCCTCGGCGGCAAAGTCTATGCTGCCGCTTGTCGGCGAGGGGCGAGCCAAAGATGAGGTAGTATCGGCGCTGGTGGGGTGCTGCAGAGAAAGAGAGGGAGAAGGAAGGTCGGTTGTTGAAGTGTGCAGAAGGGCTGGGGTAGATTATTAGTCTTGTGGAGCCTACTTTTGTCTTTTTGAATGTATTAATAAGAGAAAAGGATCATTTAACTAATTTAAAAAAAATGGAGACATTCACTTAAATTGGGCCTTTAAAATCATTCATTTTTTTTTTTAAATCTCTTATATTTAATAATAAGATAAAAATATAACTATTTAAAAATTCATCTTATATGAGCATATATTATATATGTAAAGTTAAAACTATGTGTATTATGTTCAACTAAAAAAAAACAACTGCACATATTATGTTGAAATGAAAAGCATGTCGTTCATTTTCTTTTGAAAATACACCACCACTCATATATTTATTTATTTATTATTTTAAAAGACGTGTTGTTCATTGTTAGGGAGAGAAAACGACATGTTGTTCCCGTCAATATCACGTCGTAATCTTTGCAGTGGGAATGAATGTCGTTTTCTCAAGATAATGTAACTAATGTTCCTTAAACAAACGACATCTAGAGTTTTGTTTAAAAATAAAAAATAAAAAATAAAAACCCCTCTACATGGCATATTATTTCTCTTATATAATATGTTCATTTGGTGGGTTGAACCACCGATGGGAACGTTTTTTTTAACTGGTGAATCATTTGATTGCATCACGTGTGTTACTAAACATATTTTCATTATTGTTAGGACTCTATTTTCCTTTTTTAGTTATTTAGGTTTTCCTTATAGATTATGGGGATAAGGAGTCACAAACACAAAGGGGCTAATCTCACAACAAGTTCTGTGAATCTCATGAGCTAGTGGGATTTGGGAATGTAGAGAGGTCCAATTAAAGAGGATGACAATGATAGGGTCCGGTCACGTTTTTATTAGAAAATAAAATGGACCTTGGCTTAGCAATAGCATCACACCATGCATGGACCCTAGTCTAGTTGTAGGAGTCAATGTTGAATATGAATAAATATTTTAAGATGAGAAAGCATGGACCATTGGCTTCACTTAAAAGAGTGTGATTGACATCCCTCAATACTCTACTTGCACTTTAGAGCAGAAGGATTCAGCAACAACTTCCAATCACACTTAGAAGCGCTAGACAAGACAACCATTAAAATGATGGATTAGTGCTAGCACAAAAACAAAGAATAATGCTATTTCACGACTCGCGTCGACAGTGCTGAACACTAACACCATCTAATAATAAAATATACGTCCCACAACATGGGGCCTACCTTCTATTAATAGTGGGTGCTAAGCATTTTTCTACAAACAAAAAGCACTAAGCAATGAAGTGCGCAAAACAGACAGCTGAAACTCAACTTCAAGGATAATGCATCAAGAAGTATAGCCCCACCTGCTTACTTCAATTGACCTGAATCTATCCATCATGCAGGATTATTCAAAGATAAAAATTTAACCAAGTGGCATGAATTGGTAATACTTTATTGCATAATTCATTCAAACATGAAATTGTATTTTTCTAGTTCCACTATTCAATATTCCTCGTAAGACTCAAACCTAATTATGTGCAAGTCCTCGCCCCTTTGACACCAAAGTCATTGACGGGGTCATGGTTAAAGCAAAAGTATACATGTGGTCAATTAGACATAAAATATTGCAATGACAAAGAGGTTCCTACCAGCGTTAGAACATAAATATAATGAACGCGTTTGGAATATGTTCTAAAAGGATTTTATTTTTTGTATGAAAATAAAAATATTTTCAATCTTAGACATAAATTATTTTTAAAAATGTGTTTGGTAGTTTTATTAAGAGATTATTTTCAATGTAAAAATATCAATTAATATCTCTCTTTCTCTCTCTGCTAGAGAGAGGAGAAAACGAAAACAAAAAATGAAAAACGTCTAAAAGTCATTTTTCATTTCTCTCTCATTTTACACTAAACCAAAAAATCATTTTTATTTCCGTTTTTTATTTTTATTGCTCTAAACGCTGTTTTAGAAACGTTTTCATTTTTTTCTTTTTCAAAAAATGTAAAAAATAAAAACGGGATCAATTCCAAACACGGCTAATAAATAATATATATATATACAGTAAATCCATACAGAGCGCTAATTGAAAAAAGTTAGAAAGGACAAATTACTTGCCCCCTGAACTATTGGCATTTTATCAAAATGTCCCCTAAAGTTTAAAAATAATAAATTTTTCCCTTGAATAATTCGTCGTTAGCACTCTCCTCCTTTTCTGCTCCCTCGGTTAAATTTTAAACGTTAAGTGACACGTGCAAGTCGTTGAGGCATTTAATTTTTATTCTATTATGAAATGATGATTTTGCCTTTGAAACCTAGTATACTATTTCTCAATTTATCTTTCATTAATCATCTCAATTTTTTGCCTCCCAAAATCCAAATCTACAATTTGAATCTGTTGCTAACTCAAATTTTGAATTAATTCCGAATTCTAATCTCCAATTCACAAACTCATCATTCGTGTCTTTCTCTAAAGCCCAACATAATGGGTCTCCCAGATCTGCACGAGAAGAACAATTTCAAAATTTGCACGAGCTCGTCGTTTAACAAACCTAGATAAACGAGTTTCTTGTTCAATCACACAACCAGTACCTTTCAATCACAAATACTGAGGTCCAAATTTTTAGAGCCAAACAAAGCAATAAACGAGTTTATTCTTCAATCACATCGCGGCGGAGAGGACTATCCCGGCCGGAATCGAGTGGCTCTTCGTCAGGAAGAGCCGATCGGAGCTGGACCCAGGCCGGTGGCGGGAAATCGTGACGATTAGAGGTGTGGTGGCGATCCTAGGCATGATGAAGTGGGGGATTTCAATCAAAATGCTAAGATCCGTGAGGGCCCACGTCGCAAAGGACAGATTACGGCTGGGTTTGGTCTGGAGTATGAACGGCAACCACAAGAGATGGAGATCGTTGCTGGGTTAAGGCTGAATGTGGAGATGGAGTGTTGGAATCGTTATTTCATAATAGTATATTGGGTTTCAAAGGCAAAATTATCATTTCATAATTGAATAAAAATTAAATGCTTCAGCGGCTTTTACGTGTCACTTAACATTCAAAATTTAATTGAGATGGCGGAAAAAGAGAACGCGTGTTAACGGCGAATTATTCAGGAAAAGTTTGTTATTTTTAAACTGTACGGGGCATTTTGATAAAAGGCTAATAGTTCAGGAAGAGAAGTGTAATTTGTCCAAAGTTAAAAGGTACCTTTTCCCAGAAACAACCCACCTAGATCAACTGATGGCGTACGTTTCAATAGTCACATAACGAACAAAAACAGAGAATCGCAATTCAGCCACATATAGAAAGAAGATGCAAAATAGCAAGAGACATTAAACTTATTAAACTAAATCACGAGGTCCAAGAGAATCACATTCTTCGTAGGACTAAAATATGTATGCCCACCAAGACATTACATGTCAGTTCTTGGTTGCTTCACAAATACATCAAAACAAACAAGATCGATATAGAATCAAAAAACCCATGTTTTCCAAGTCCCATGATGTTGTGCTTGGTAGCTTCTTGGATTTTTGCACCTATATTCTTTATATAAACAGTAAACTACCAAAAAGGCAATGCCGTGGGACATTACTAATCCAATGAAGTTAAAGAACAGAAACACATTTGCCTACAGCGGAGAGGAAAGGTCAAAAGGTGTACTGATGTGCAAACGGTGTTCATAAAGATTGCAGCTGCAACCTGCTTTCAAACAGAGCCTACGCGCAATCATGCGCTTGTAAGAATCATTACCTATTTTTCTTTGACATAACTGCATTGTCAATATACACAACCATTTTGTTTTCTGATTGCTTCGCTGAAAGAAATAACAAGAGGCTTGTGCACAATTATGAAAAGAAAACGTGTGTTTTCATGCTTAACCTTGTCATTGCTGGGACAATTTCTTTGCCTCTACAACAAAATGGTGTTTGAAAAATTACCATATTGTTGCTCTCATGAGTGGCTATCTACTGTTGTTATGTTTAGCATCAGATTCATAAAAAAGGCCTAAGAGATAGTCAGTTTGTAGTTTAATGATTCACACCTTAAACTAGTATGTTGTTGCTCTTACAAAGTTCCAAGAAGCTAGCTTTAAGTTCACCACCGGATTCATAAAACTCGACAAAGAAATATAGTCCGCTTTGCAGTTAAATGATTTCACAACTTACCGCTGTTAGATCAAATTACAGAAAGCAACCATAGCAAAAGAAAAAATGCAGGATCTTTAACAAAATGGAAGTTAAGAGTATCAACAAGTACTTGTTTACACCAAAAGTTTCAACGACATAGTAAGTACAAAAAAAGACAATAGATTCTATAATCCATACCCACAAAAAAAAAAAAAAAAAAAAAAAAAAAAAAAAAATTTAAACAAAAAAAAAAAAAAAAAAAAAAAAAAAAAAAAAAAAAGCAGAGCAGGGAGATGCCAATATAAAGAAAAAGGCATGATCTTTATATCAAGAAGAAAGACTTAGTTACATCAAGTTTTCAACAACAAACATAGCCGCATTGACCTTGAAGCGAAAGCAATGAGATTAATCTTACTAACTCCGAAAATAACTATTTCATAGGTGGTCAAATCCTGCTAAAAGTATTGACTAGACTAACTAACCTTCCCTCAATCCAAACTCAAGCATCACTATCATCACTATCATCGTCGTCGTTTCCGAGATCATTGGCAATGTGAACTCCAGGAGGCGGAGGCTGCTTCCGCCGAGTCCTTGACGGAAGAATGTTATCCAAATCGACCTCCGCGAGCGGATCATCCGACAAATCGCTGTCCAACTCACTGCCTCCGCCATCGCTCGAATCATCGTCGTCACTGTCATCATCATCGTTGTCATCTTCTTCTTCTTCAAGAATCAATTTTCCTTTTCCCTTGTCGTCCCTCATAATCCCCTTCCCCTTGCGATCCGCCTCTCCATTATTCTTCGACTTCTCATCATCTTCTTCTTCTTCGCCATCCTCGTCCTCGTCGGATCCGTAATCTTCATCGTCATATTCGCCGTTCTCGTCCTCTTCGGGACCAGCTTCGATTTGGGCATCTTTGGCTTCGTCAATGGTGGATTTTCCGTCCAAACTCCCGGCGATTGGGTTCTTGTCATCGAAAGAATCGAGCTTAAGAGTTTTCTTGGGGCGGTCGAGAGGATCGACATCGGGGGTGGCATCGTGTTTAGTGCGCTTAGTGGCGTGCAATGCAGGTTCTTCTTGGTTATTGGTTTCCGCCATGAAAGCGCTTGAGAGAGAAGAGGAAGAAATGGAGGGGGTTAGGCTAGGGTTTTGGGGCAAGAGGTTCTTTTATGACAAGACCACACCCAATTTTCAACCCTTTGTTTGGGGGCACAATAAACGACAGAATATATTTTTGTTATTTTTATTGGTGAGTGAGAAGAATTCTATTTTTTTTTTTTTCAAAAAAAAAAGAACAATTCTACGTTAAATTTATTCTTAATTGAAATTTTCCCTCGAAATAGGGGCATGTGATTCTTTGAGGAGAGGGCGAGAGGCACACAAGTCGTTTGCAAATAGCAAATTCACATTTTATAGCTCTCAAGGATGTCGTTTTTTCCGAATAGCAATAACAATGTCGTTTTTGTTTTCTTTTTATTTTTTTAATTTGGGGGAAGGATTAGAACTATCACCACAGTATTAGATTATGCAATGTGGATTTATCGTTACACTGTGCACAAATAATGTCGTTTCATACTTTTTTCACGCACGTTCTTCTCGTGTTTTCATCTCAAGGGAAACGATGATAAAACGTTATAGATCAATAAAAAGCGGCCTATGAAGTTTATATATATATATATATATATATATAATACGTGTATTGTGTTAGACCAAAAAAAATACGTGTATTATGTTGAAATAAATAGTATGTCGTTCATTTTCTTTTGAAAATATAGTACCCATTTATTTTTATTATTTTAAAAGACATGTCGTTCATTGATGTTTAATAGAGCCAGGAAACGACGACATGTTCTTCCCGTCAATGTCACGTCGTATTCTTTGCAGCGGGAATGAATGTCGTCTTTTCAAGACGTGGCATTTTATTTCTCTTGTTGACTTTTCAATCAATAAACAACGCATTGTTTGCTATTGACAGAGTAAAGTGATGTATTGGCTTGCCTTTATGATGCAGGGTATGCTCTACTCAATTAATGTGTCGTCTTTTACTGTTAGTTCTGAGTTTATTATCGTTTGAACACTAAAATGTCAGACACTTAAAAAGAATTAATGAAGTATTATTGAGATTTCTTAAAATTTGAATTTGTTTTGATTGTTTATTCCTTTGTTTAGGATTCGGCTCTAGAGGCCTCTCCCATCCGGTTTGAGCGAGAAAACTTTTTGTCCAGCTGCGGCTGCACCACTTTAAACCAGAATTACATGTTTCTTTTTCTCTTTTTTTTTAACGAGAAGGACAAGAAACGACTTGTCTTTTCTAGATAGAGAATAAACAAGAATAGTAAGTCTACTCCGCACACTATCATAATATGTAGAGTTAAAATCCCCATCCAAATTATAAAAAAAAAAAAAAAACAAAAGCTATGTTGAATTTTTCAAATTATTTTGCTAAACAACCAAGGAAAGTAATGTTACAAACCAAAAACGACATTCAAATTGTCATGTCGTTTACTACTCGAGAGAGAAAGAAAAGAGATTTATTCTTTTGTTTTTTCAACGGTAATTGCAGTAAATATTTTTAAATAGTTTTTAAGAAAAAGTATACTTCTGAGAAAGTTAAGAAAATAATATATTGACTTATAAAATTTACTCCACAAATTATACTATTTACGTAAATCATTTAAAAAACAGGATAATCATATTTATTTCATAGGTTTAAGTTACGATTTAAACTTTCATTCCGTTATTTTTTTTCACAACAATTTAAATTTTAGTTTAAGCTTCCTGATAAATTTGAGCCCATAAATCAAAGGAGACCGATATTTTCTTAGCAACCATTTCTAAAATTTGTATTATTATTATTATTATTATTATTATTTGCTTCCTTGTCTTATTTATTTTATAAATAGTGGATTTCATAACCGCATATGGCCCGGCAAAACAAGAGTGGGTGGCGAGTCCAAACAAGTGGCACATTAACCAAGGCTGCTGCTAACAGGATTGGCTGACCAGACCTTTCTCCCACTCATCTTCCTTCCTTCATTCTCATTCTCTGATTCTTCTCTCTGTCCCTTCCCTTCTACTGGTCGCTCCACCAATACTCGGATCTGGGTCGCTCCGAATTCCCCCAAACATTAACACAACGGAACTCTTTACCAAGTTCCAACAACAGAACCAAATCATCATCATCATCAACAACAACAACAACAACAGCACAGATCTGATCCTTTTTCTTTCTGGGATCGTCGTAATTCTCCCGACAAAATGATTGCGATTCCGTACTTGACCGCCTTAACCACCTACTTCAGCTACGGCCTTCTCTTCGCCTTCGGTCAACTCAGAGATTTCTTCCGCAAATTCATCGATTGGTGGAGCTCCAACAATCTCCAGGTTTTTTTTTCGACGAGAACAACCTCGTACTTCTTCTATGGAACTTTTAGTCTTTGTCTTTTTGTGTTTTTTTTATGATGTTGAAATTGGTTTGAGCAGGGCTATGCTCCCATTTGTTTGGGACTCGAAGATTTCTATATTCGCCGCCTCTATCTCCGTATTCAGGTAATTTAATCACATCTCTTCCTTTTTTTTTTCTTTTTTTGTGAACTTAATCATTTCAGGAGTTCTGAATTATGAATATATGTACCTTTTGCTATGAAAAAGGGAAATAATAAAGGACGTAATTAGTACGTTTTATGAATGAACTTTATTGGTACCAAACAATAACAAGAAAGGGTCCAAGCATTTGCTTTACTTATCTATATATAGATGACTTTTTGAGAACTACCATATCCAGAATGGGAAAGCTTCTGAATTTTTTTAAGAATATGTGTATGGTAGTGGGCAATTCATTTTCTCGGTTTTAATTGATCCCCAAATGATTTTCTAATCTTTGTCAAGTTCTATTCTCTTTTAGATAAAAGCGAGCAATCAATATCTAATTATCCATAGTGAGAAAGCTTCTGAATTTGAGTATGCGTCTGGGGATTGGGTATTGATTTTCTTGTTGAGTATCGATCAGAAAACAATTTTCTGATATTTGTTCAGTTGTATTGGCTTTTAGCTATAGTGGCTATTAAGTTTTGTGACCTTGTATTGAACATTGCAAGTGTAAAAGTCGGCGTAGTTGATGTATTAAGTCGTGTGTATGAGTGATATGTTTAAGATTGTCAGGACTGTTTCGGACGACCAATATCTAGCGCTCCTGATGCTTGGTTTGATGTGGTTGAACGTTTCTCCAATGACAATAACAAGACGTTGACGTAAGATTTTTCCATTTCTGTTAAGGTTCACGGGCTTGTTTTACAAGTTGTACTTATATTCCTTGTGTCTTTTTGCATGAAGCTGGGGTATGTTGGAGATTTTTCTAACTCTTTTTTTCGTCCTCTTGCAGGCGAACCACAAAAATAAGCAGATGCCTTAACTTGGGATCTTACAATTACCTTGGGTTTGCCGCATCAGATGAATACTGCACACCACGCGCAATCGAGTCGTTGAAAAGATATTCTCCAAGTACCTGTAGTAGCCGAGTGGACGGTGGTGGGTTTTGACTTTCTCAAAGATGCTTTTGCTGCTTAACAAAATCATACCTGAGTTTGAACTCATGATTTTTGCATCAGGCACAACGGCATTACACAATAAACTGGAGAAGTGTGTTGCGAATTTTATTGGAAAACCAGCTGCTATAGTGTTTGGCATGGGCTATGTGACAAATTCCGCTATCCTTCCTGTCCTGATGGGGAAGGTTTGTTTTTTTGGTGAATGAAATTTTCTTTGTAAGCACGGTCTTTTAAACTTTTTTATGCACATTTCAATTGCTTACAGTTTTAATTTGTAGGGAGGCTTGATTATTAGTGATTCCTTGAACCACAACTCTATTGTTAATGGCGCACGAGGATCTGGAGCTACAATTCGTGTGTTCCAACACAATAGTAAGTCCATAAGCGCTAGTTTAGTATAACATCATAATTTGACTACTACATAATGTGATGTTTGATTTAAAGAGAAATCATGCGGCTGAAGGTTTTCCCTCATATTTCTCCTTCCTGTATTGCTTACAGCGCCGGCTCACCTGGAGGAAGTTTTGAGAGAACAAATTGCAGAGGGGCAACCTAGGACTCACAGGCCCTGGAAAAAGATAATGGTTATTGTGGAGGGAATATATAGCATGGAAGGGGAGCTTTGTAAACTTCCTGAAATTATAGCAGTCTGTAAAAAATATAAGGTTGCGATGCATCTTAGTTTTCATAAAATATAGGCCTAAATATAAGGTTTCTTTCGTTCGTATTTTTTCTGAGGAACAAGTGCTTTGTGAAATTGAGTTCACATGCAGTCTCAATACAGAGAATGCCTATAGAAATGAAACTTTTCATGGCAGTCAGAGCTCAATTTTATATTTTAACAACAATTCTTTTAAAAGAATAGTTTACCAACTTTTTTGGGAGCAACTCTCTTTATACTAACAGCCTAAAGTGTGATATTATTTACATCATGATAGTGAAAACATTATTATTTTCATCTCAGCATCTTCGTCATGTGTATTAGGCATATACATATTTGGATGAGGCCCACAGCATTGGAGCAGTAGGGAAGACTGGAAGAGGCGTTTGTGAGCTCTTGGGTGTAGATACAGCTGATGTAGATATCATGATGGGAACCTTCACAAAATCGTTTGGATCATGTGGTGGCTACATTGCAGGATCCAAGGTTTGCTTCTTACACCATTTTCACTGTTATGTCATTGAACATTTTGTGGAGTAATCGAGCCATATTCTTGAAATGGCAGTTTAAGAGTGTTTCCCATAAAGAAAAAAAGGGAAATATATTACTTTTAATTATTTTAATTTGTATATACTCGCAGTTTAGAAGAATTTTCTTCTTGCGACATGAATTGGATTAACTTCAAACCCATGGATTTAGTATTAAATAAATGAAAAGTTGAACACAGAGTTGCATATATTACCTGATTCTGGTTTTATTCAGGAGCTTATTCAATACTTGAAGTACACTTGTCCTGCTCATCTTTATGCAACTTCAATATCACCACCAGCTGCACAACAAATAATTTCGTCCATTAAGGTCATTCTTGGAGAGGATGGTACAAATAGAGGTTTGAACTCTCTCCCATAACTTTTTCCTTTCTTGTTATGCTTGGCTTTGGGTTAGGCAATCTAAATTTGGAAGATCTTTGCTAACACTTCGTTTTAATAAGGGTAGAGAACACAGAATATGAATGAGGAAGTTTTTTTTTTTTTTTTTTCTTTTGTCGTGTGTTGGGGGTGGTGTGAGTGGGGTGGGGTGGGTGGGGATGAAGAAGGAGATTGTTTTTCATTTACCTTGTTTTGTATGATAAGAATGAAAGGAAATAGATGATTAAGTTAATTACTATTTTTTTTCCTACCAAACAACTCAAAACTCAAGTTTCTCTTCAAAATTCCCTCACTCCCTTCTTTCCTTCCACTCTTCTCCTATATCAAATATAGTATGACACTTTATTTGGTACGAAGGAAAAGAGAAGGGAAGGAAGATGGCTGTGGAACTATTGGAGAGAAAATGGCATTGTGCCTATTGGTTTGCTTGGTAGGAAGGAAGAAAAGAAGAAAGGAACAATGAGTGGAAAAAAAATACTATTGGACCCCACCAATTTTTAATCCAGCCATAGTTAGAGAGATTGTTGTGTGGAAGACTTGAAACCAAAAGCTTAGTTTAGTTAATATACTTATGTTATGTGTCCTCATTTCGGAAATAAACAGAAAATAGTAATTGTGCAAATCACACATTTATTTCTTTCCTACATTCCAAACAATAGAAGAGAGAAACAAAAACGTTTCTACGTTTCCTACTCTATATCCTCTATCCTTTCTCCGCTTCTTACTAAACAGAGTGTAAAGCTCAATGGATGCACAAAACATTTAAAAAAATAAATAAAAAATTATGGAGCTTAGGTTGCCCTTTCAGGAGCCCAAAAACTGCTGCGGATTCGGGAGAATAGCAACTTCTTCAGGTCAGAACTGCAGAAAATGGGTTTTGAGGTTCTGGGGGATAATGATTCTCCAGTAATGCCAATTATGCTTTACAACCCAGCTAAAATCCCTGCCTTTTCGCGAGAGTGCCTCAAGCAGAATGTGAGTCCATCCTCTAACCAACACTTGTGTGTTTCAGAATTAGAGCTTTTCTGATTAATTCTGATGAATGTATGTTCATATGTTCATACAAAAATGGTTCTACTTGATCTGCTACAGGTTGCTGTTGTAACAGTAGCATTTCCAGCGACCCCACTACTGTTGGCAAGGGCACGTATATGCATTTCTGCTTCTCATACCAAGGAAGACCTAGTCCAGGCCTTGGAGGTAACCGCCTAATTTCATTTCTTTTGGCTGCTAAAATTGCCCCCTATATATATATATTTTTTTTTTTTTTGTTGTTGTTGTTAGATTTCAATATAATATGCCCCTTCTCATGATAGAAAATAATTAACTATACTTATTAAAAAACAAAAACTCATTTTATTCAAATTGTGTCAAATAAAGAAAAAATTTATTGCATCGGCACTGGTGAGTCAACTTTGTGCCTTAAATGCGCTTTACTCAGTGCCTTTTGCAATTCAGGTTATTAGCAGGGTTGGTGATCTGGTGGGTATTAAGTACTTCCCTGCTGAGCCAAACAAGCAAGAGCAAGACGAAAGCTTGAAGAAGTTAGATTAGAGAGGGAAAAAGACGAGCTATTTGGCCTGAAATTGATATGTCGGTGCAAAAAGAAAGGGAAATGTTGGTTTAAACGGACTGATCCAGTTCAACTTAAATGTGTTGTATTCTCTCTATACTTCCTACGGGGGGGAATAGCATTTTTGTCGTTTCTTGTGTTAATTTTCCTTTTGCTTCCTTTTTTTTTTTTTTCCTTCACTCTTTTTTGGTATTTCAATTTTGTACATATGTATCCCTATTTTTTATGCTACTCTTAAATGTGATAAGCCTTTAGTCAACCTCCTATCCAGTTGCTGGAGCGAACTCACTAGTGTATTAGATAGAAGAATAATAACCCACTCTATTATCGCCACTGACCCGCTGGGACATAACAAGTAGAAGTTTCCTGAGTAAGCTTGTATCTATCTCTCGTCATGAAAAATTTATTCCCCCTATTTAGTCCAAGAAAACCCCCCTTTTTTTTTTTTTTTTGCGTTTTTAATTATTTTGATCGATATAAATTCAATGGGAGAGGGAGACTCTCTAATCAAATTAGCTCATTATCTAACCTAAGAACTAAATTATTACATGAATGTCGATTATGAGTATCTTATTTTAAAAAATGTCTATTTTTTTGTTTATTTATACAAATATCTACTATTATATATAAAGACAATTATATTCTAAAAAAATGATTAAAGAAAAAAAAAAACAAAACCAGTTAAATTATGGGCTGCTTCATTAACAAGGCTATTATTTCGTTGTCCCACCGCAGAACTATTTGTTTGTCGTTCTTTTACTACGTATATTTAGCCTGACATTTAAATCAAACAATCTGACTATTTATACAGAAAATGTCTTCCATCCGACATGCATTATTTATCAGATTGATATATATATATAGGAATGGTCTTCAGTCCGGTATGCAGATTGGAACGGCATTTGTACATTTCTCTATAAAATATGTACATTTCTTCTTTAGAATGTGTACATTTCTTCTTTAGAATGTGTACATATTGTATATTTTACTATAAAAGGAAATGTACATCTATATATATATATATATATAAAATGTCTTCCGTCCCGGCACTATTTACCGTACTATGTACCGGATGGATCCGGCGGAAGACTATTAGCCCTTGGATTATATATGGACGGCCCGAAAGTAATGGGGTAGGCTATACAATTTAAACATTTCTTACATCTATAGGACGCCAAAATAATTTTATTTTTTATATAAAAATAAAAATGAAAACGTTTTCAATCTCAAACATAAATCATTTTTAAAAATACGTTTGGTAGTTTTATTAAGAGATTATTTTCAGTATAAAAAACTCATTAATATCTCTCTCTGCTCGAGAGGAGAAAATGAAAACAAAAAATAAAAAACGATTAAAAGTCATTTTTTATTTCTCTCATTTTACACTAAACCAAAAAATTATTTTCATTTTTATTTTTTATTTATATTGCGTCAAACGTCATTTACGTTTTCATTTTTTCTATCTTAAAAAATATGAGAAATAAAAAGTGGATTAATTTCAAACATGACCATAAGCTATTAGTAATTATGAGAGTAGGTGAATAGGCCTTCAGACAATTAAATGTATAAAATAATTGGAATACAACTTTAAAAAAATGCAAAATCAAAATGACGTTTATTTCACTTGTCGTTCCCTATGTCATGCTATGAAAGAGGGATGTGTAGCCATCGCCTGAAAATAGAAGAGTTTCGTGTTAGTGTTTAATTACAAATGTGAATTTAAACCATCATATTCATAAATCTCAAGAATTATCATGTCAAATTACTAAGAAAATATTGAGAAAACGTACTTAAATTTATAGTAGCAATAATCGATACTTCTATGAAATTACTACGACGATTGACAAACCGGTTATTATCTTTTTCAGTCAAATTACCAGAATTTCTTAATGGGTTGTTTCTCTCTAAATAGGATAGATGAGAAGACGGCTAAATGATTTGACGTATTATAGATTATAACATATATGCCCTTATATATTGTTTTTATAAGGTCTCTTTAAACCTAATTAGATCATAATTATGTATACACTCATAAAACCCATACACAGTAAAAGTCTATGTGGTTTACTTGATTAGGCCACTTATAAAAGTCCATTATAATTAAATAGCCTAGTATAGGGATAAAAAGGGAAATAACATATTTAGTAAATTATAACATTTTTAAAAAAATAGTAGATTATAGCATAATTTGATATTTTAAGCTTTAAATATTATTAAAAATCTAAAAATACCCTTAAGTCTCTTTTCCACCTCTCTCTTCTTCTCTTAATAATCAAGTCCGCCATAATCAGTTCCGGCACCGACGACAGGTAATTAGCTCCGGCGACCGACGACAGGTAACCAGCTCTGACGATCGACGACAAGCCACTTCGGTGACCGGCGTAGGCCACCAGCTTTGACGATCATTTTTGGGCTGCCGTTGACCGGCTACTTTTTTTGGCGGGCGGCTTCGGCAACTAGTAACTATCATATTTACTGATAAATATTATATTTATCATATTTATTTAAAAATTTGACGTGTAAATATTAGTAAATACAGTATTTATTATATTTATCTGAAAATTTGACCACCGGTTACGATTGATAAATGTTTCACAATTTTCTTTTCCCGGACCAATACTTGTATTGCTTTAGTTGGAGTCATTAGATTTCAATAATCTCATAACCATTGCAAGTGGATTCTACAAATACCTTACTTTGGCATAACACCAGGACTGACAAATCTTATATTGCCGTCTCGTCGCGTTAACCACTTAATTCTCTCCAAGTGCTCTTTCGACCATTTGAGAGAGATGTAACAGACTTCGTCCAATGTTACTGCATTTTCCTAAGTCAAATGTCGCACCATTATTTCTTACAACTGAATTTTGTAATTATATATAATATGTTGTTGCCCATAAAAAGAGTATTTTAATCAACCACATTTACATATATAACCTTCTGAATGCATTAAAATACTCTTAAATAACGAAACATTTTCTGAGCCGGCATCACATTACTACTTTTCTCCTGACAACATGCATTTCTCTCTCCCCCTTTTCAACAAGTGTCCACCACAATGATCTAGCGGGCTATTTACTAGGCTTGCATTGTAGACCTTCTTTTTGCTCTAACAATACATCTTGACCGTGCATTTTCATCGGGCAGTTGAAACTCTTCCGCCGGATTGAAGACCTTGCCCTCTATACATATATATATATGAACTTAATCCTAAAAAAACTCAAGGAATTAAACTGAAGTATCAAAAATTAATTGAAAAGGCAACTAGTAAAATTAAGGAGATGTTTGGTTCATGAATTAGAATCATGTGATTAGAATTATTTTTGATTTACGTGTATTTTTTGTGAGAAAAAACATTATAATGAATTATGAACCATGATTCAAATCATGGTTTAAATCCTCCAACCAAACGTCCCCTAAAAATAACAAAAACAAGATTTGAACTAAGATTACAAACACCAAGCATGAGACTTCCAAACACACATTATTAAACTTAGAAACTTGATTAGGTTAGATATCTTATTCCACTTAAAGATTCAATCCAATGTCTTCGTAATGTTATTTTATTTTTTCAAAAATGAGTTTCAAGAGCAGTTTGTTGTAAATTCACCAGCAGCGACTCCGTTTTCATTTCTGAAGTTAATATGATGATAACAAACTGCCAAGTAAGCTTTAAAATTGAATATCTAAGTCTAAGATAATCAGAAAGCACATACGCTTTAATGATTCTGTTATCAATTGGTTCAGAAAAATGTTCTGTTACTGGCAGTTAAGACCAATTTGTTGAGCAAGCAATCAATAATACACTATAGCATCTCAGACACATCCAATATTTTATTTTTCTTTTTTATTATATGAAAACAGAGCCAAAATTTCACTTTTTGACCTTTACATAAGAAAATTAATCAAATTTAGCATATACACCTCTTCGATCGTTGACATTATTAGTTAGAAGAGCCAAACGAACCAGCCATAAACTAGATGTAAATAATTTTTTTGCTCATAAGCAAATGTTAATTTTGTGCTCATAAACAAATGTCGATTCCACCATAGCTAGAAAATACATTTTTCGCTCAAATCGATCTGGATCCCTACCTCTTTAATTTGGCAATTATGCAAGCGTATAAATTATAAAATGCTTGAAGATTCCAAATCAATGCTTCCGCAAAATAAAGATGAAATATTAATTTGTTAAAATCCATTATTTTTAAATTAGTGCTACACATGTATTGGAAGAATAGAACGTTTTTTTTTTTTTTTTTCTTTTTTGTAATTAATACTTGTTGGATTCGGGTGAAAATATAGGCTTGTTTCCAATAATCTGTAAATAAAAATCATTTCACAGTTGGTACCTTGGTGTGTAAATTAACTTGTAGAAATTAAAGAAGGTTGATCTAGTAAATTAAAGTCCCTCAAGAAGCAGCCTTGCATGGAAGCCACGTGGTAGCCAAGGTAAAAATAGCTGTAAAGACCAGAAAATTTTTTCCTAAAAGCAAAATCACCATAAAGAAGAGTGAAATCGATTATATAAGCAGAGGGAAAAGAAAACAACCAATCAGAAAAAGGGTCAAAACCGTTCTAACTTCACCAAGTGGGTCCGCAACAAGGTCTCAGCCAATCAGCAAGCAATCCTGAGAAAACTCTTGGTATGAGCATATCACACTGAAAGAATCCTATCTCATCTCTCCCATGCTACGACCACCACGTAAAACCACTCACTCTTCTCCCCGTTTCAAAAATTCAAAAAACCCCCCACTTCTTATCTCCTTCACCCCCACAACATACATAATATATGTGCAAAGATTTTTGCAGTCATGAGAGAGAGAATAAATTGTGGTTTTCACATGGAGGAGAGAGAAAAGAGAGATGAGAGAGAGAAAGAGAGAGATGGGGCCATTGATTTCCGTTGCATGAAATCAGAACTTTAGCAACAGGTGGAGGTGCTTTACCTCTCCGCCTCTGATAATTTCACACTCCATCCGTCACTCCTCTCTTGGGCCGTCCCTAATCACCCCGTCTCCTCCACATTTCTCAACACTAACCACACTTCCTAGCTACTTCCCTCAACTATGGTTATACATATATTTATATATACACACACACATATCATACTAATATATACGTATAATAACAAAAATAATAATAATAATTTCAGTTTCACAAAAATATATACATTGACAAAACCAATGAGAAAAGGACTTGGAAAACAGGCGTCAATGCATATATCACATTTGTCATTAGATGAGGCTGAGGAAGTAGAAGAAGTGATACTACAGCCCCGTGTTGTATTCACCGAAACCCTACTACACCTTTACCCATTTTTTTTCTTTTTTTTTTTTTATTATTATCTTATGTTTGCCTCCATTACCCATTACCCATTTGCATAAATATCAGTAAAAACTGCACACAACAATGTGGTGAAACAAAAAAGGAAGGGAAAAAAGTGGGTGCATAAGATCGTGATCATCAAGTTTGAGTGAATGCAGCTTGCACAAATGGCATCCGTGCCAGGCGCTGCGATTCTCATCGCCCAAAATTAAACCCCATCTTGCTAAAAATAGAAAAAAAGAAAGAAAGAAAAAGAGAGAGAAAGAGAAAGAGAAAAAGATAGAGAGAGAGAAGAGAGAGAAAGAGATAATCAGGCCAATCTCGCTGAAAGCAAAGGGCCAGATATCTCTCACTTTACTCACACACTCACTCACTCACTCACAGAAATCCACAACACACTGATCTTTGTGTGAGTTTGCTGATCTTTTTCACTTATAATTTTGGTTGGTTAAACTTAAACTCGTGTGATTTGAATATGATGATGATGATGATGAGAAAAACCGAGGCGTGTGGAGTAAGGGCAGGTGTTGGGTACAGTGAAGGAGAGAATTGCAAAGATCAGAAAATGAAGGGTCTTACTAATAATAATAATAATAATTCGGATACAATCGGGTTGACCCGAGATCTCGTCAACGGCTTCTCCACTGTCAACAAGAAGAAAAGATTGCCCAGACAGAGACGCTCCTCCATCAACCTTCTTCACCGCTTCTTTTTCCGAAACTCCTCCTCCTCCTCCTCCTCCTCCTCCTCCTCGCACGTGCCTCATCCCCTTCCTAATGCCTCTCTACCTCCCGCACGTGTGAGCTTCCTTTCCTTTACTTTATTTTATTTTATTATTATTTTATTTTTTATTTTCGTGTGCTCAAATTAAAACTCCAATCGACATTGACCAAAGTTATCTATTTACCTATTTATGTACAGTTTCATTTTTTTATGTGTGACATAGTACTAATATTCACTCAATTTCGATCGATCTAAGTTAAGGAAGTGTTGATTATAACTTTTTTTTTTCTCTCTAATATAATTAGATGTCTAGAATAATATCCGAATAAGGATTTTATTTATTCTTTTAGATCGTTCTCCTGATGCACAACTTTGATTTAGTTTCGGAATAATAATATAATTTCTCTTTATTTTCTTGTTAGAGTGATCTGTAAATTGCCACTAATTAATCTCTCTAACTCATGGTAATTAGGCCTAGGCTAGCTTAATATTTCTCGATCGGTTGCTGAACGTGCACAAAAATTAATATTTCCTTTCAGAAAAATTTAATATTAGGCGTAAAAAAGTGCCCAATTATTTTTGTTCCCAAATTAACGATACTAGTATTTAATCTGCACTTATTCACATATTGATGTACATTTTACTTTGTAAATGCAAATGTATAATTCACTGATCTTTCGATCTAAAGTTAAGAAATATAGTTAACTAATTGACATATTTTTTTTCCTAGTATCCCTAGATGTCTAAAAAAAAATATGCGCATTGCTTGGAATTTTTTTCTTTATAGTTTCGGAAGAACATTTCTTGTGGTAGTTTAACGCCGGTGTCTCGTTGGTTATTTCAATCAAAAACTTTATCTAAATATACTTATTTAATTTAATATTATCTGCCTGAAAATGATGGTTATTATGTATTAATTACTATATAAATGCTCTTCAGGGGATTGATCCAGGAAGGCTTAGATTCCTTTTCCAAAAGGAGCTCAAAAACAGTGATGTTAGCTCTCTCAGAAGAATGATCCTCCCTAAGGTACCTTATCATTTTGTTGACTTTGAAAATTGATCAGCCTCGCTAGATCACCATAATAAATTTTTTTCCTTTTTTTTTCTACCCAAGAAAAAGAGGAAAGCTTTATTTAATATTGAGTAATTAATATATATATATATGTATGTATGTATATATTTCAGAAAGCTGCGGAAGCTCACCTTCCTGTACTCGAATCAAAAGAAGGAATGCTTATCAGTATGGATGACTTGGATGGCCTGCGTGTTTGGAGCTTCAAATACAGGTCATTTTTAATCCTAAATAATATTGTCCTAATTATAACACTCCAGATATATCATATTATAATTCTAAATCTTTTGTATATATTTGTTATATATGTGCAAAAACCTGCAATGTAACTATCCGAGGTCATGATTAACTGCTAGTCTACTTGATCAAATTTAATTAAATGTTACAATTGCCTAAACCTCAAAACATTATATCAACATCATCAAAATTGCATATATTTTAGTATGAGCTTACTGTTAGACTATACTTGCAACGGCATGTAAATAATTAACTCTAATCCATATCTAAATTATGCTTTTTTCATAATTAATGAAATATTGCAGGTTTTGGCCTAATAACAACAGCAGAATGTATGTACTTGAGAATACCGGTATGCCTTTTTCTACTAATTTTCTCACTCTTTCTACAGTCCCTTTATCAAAACATGCAATATTTGATCACATATGGATGGCTAAATAATTTTTTTTTTCCAGGGGACTTCGTTAATACACATGGGCTACAACTTGGAGACTACATCATGGTCTATCGAGATAATGAGAACCAAAATTATGTAACTAACCCCATCCCACGTGTGTGTGTGTGTGTATTATATTTTCGAAAAAAATATTTTCTCATTTTTTTATTTTATTTTTCTGATGTATCCTCGTGATAAGCAGGTGATTCAGGCATCCAAAAAGAGTAGTGTTTATGCTAATCATCAGGAACAAGATCATCATCATCATCATCATCATCATCATCATCATCATGTCGTGTACACTGACAATATAGCAGATCAGAGTAGTACTGCTGAAGCTGCTCATGATGATCATGTACTGATCACCAAGCAAGATGATCAGGTGGTAGACGTTCCTCATATTGATAAAGACCAGTACGAGGCTAACAGTAGCACAACGTCGTCTAATAATTGCTGGTACATGAACATGAACTTGAACTTCCCTTTTTTGGAGTCTGTGGACGAGACAAGCATGTCCTTCGTCTACGACACCACCAACTTCCAAAACGACAATCTGCTTGACTTCTTGGGAGGATCCATGACTCATTACAACTATTCCAGATCAAATGCTGCTTTTGAGAGTTTTGGATCTGTGGACAACTTGTCCCTTGACGACTACTATTAATCATCAACTCCATAACAACTAGTAGTGAAGGTTTTGGCTACGTATTTATTTATGTGGCCTTATAATTAGATGTCGAGGAAAAACTAGAGATCTTTTGAGGACTAATTATCCGTTTGACTTTTGTTTCTTTTGCTATAGCTGCTCAGTATGTATTTTGGTGTGGTCAAGCACACAAATATATGTATAATGTACTAATAAAGAGTGGCAAGTTAAGTTAAATAACTTTTTTGGGGAATGCCTAGATCCTTGTACACATTCGTTTTAATTTATATTCTCAGTTTTTTTTATTTATAGTTTACAATATCAGTTTTGATCAGAAAAGAAACACGCCAAGAGTTAAACCGACGAAATTTTTTAACACACATAATAGCGAAACATATAGTATACTTTATTTATAATCAAATGGGTTGCCCGTCTAGCTCAGTCGGTAGAGCGCAAGGCTCTTAACCTTGTGGTCGTGGGTTCGAGCCCCACGGTGGGCGAGTATTATTTTTTCCTTAATTGTAATGGCCCCAGCACGTGTCTAAAAGGTTTTAATCGTCGTTTTTTCACCTCAATTTATAAGTTATTTTGCTACTTTTTTTTTAACTCGTTTTTTCATCCGTAATTATGTTCCAAGCATAGTGAGAAGAAACCGATAGGTTAGTTTTTTTTCGTCGGATTTGTATAAAATTATGTAAAAATTAATATATATATATATATTTAATAGTTAAAAAAATTTAATCTATTGATACACCATGTGCACTAGAAAACCTCTCTAATTAAAAATACAAAAACTTAACCAGATTTGATTCATCAGTTCGACATTTATTGATTGAACTCTTTTATTTGAATAAAAAAATTTAAACTGTGTGATTTAAATTATAGTTTGAATTAGTATTTAAATGTGCAGTTAAAATTGTAATCTAAATAGTAAATAAAATTCATATTTGTATTTAGTAAGGGTGTAAAATAGAGACAAAATTAGTACATTTTCACTGTTTAAAAATAATTTAAAAGACTAAACTTAAAGAGAGTTAAACTTTAAATTAAATAACTTAACTTAATTTAAACAAAAATATAACACTTAAAAAACACTGAGTTCAAACTGTGCTTGTTATACTGAGTTGAATGAAACAAATAGGTGCTTAAGCGGTTAATAACCTATTGCTTCCCCTAATGACGCAAGACAGGTCTGCAGATCATTGTCGTTTTGCCTGCGGCTTCGTGTTTTTTCCTATTGCTTCCCCTAATGACGCAAGACAGGTCTGCAGATCATTGTCGTTTTGCCTGCGGCCTGGGGTTTTTTTTTTTTTTTTTTTTTTTTTTTTTTTTTTTTTTTTTACTGCTATCTGAAAAATAAATAAATTGGTATTTTCGCCTTTCCCAATTGACATTTACCGTGGGTTCTAATTAAATCATGGACTGTATTTTTTCTGACAAAAATAGGAAAAGAAAAAAAAAATTATAGATGAATTTTCGATCCGTGCAGCCACGAGCCAGCAGAGACTAGAGAGAGAGAGAGAGAGAGCTTTGAATTCATTTTTCATTTTCTTTCATTTTTGTTCTCTCTCGCACAGAAAGAGGAGCTTCAATGGCGAGCAGATACTGGGTGATCTCTCTTACCGTCCAGGGATCCGCATCTTCCCTATGGAATCGCCTCCAAGAACAAATCTCCAAGCACTCTTTCGACACTCCTCTCTACAGAGTACTCTCAATTCCTTCTTCTTCTTCTTCTGATTTTCCAAGATCTGATTCTCTCGATCGCTACTTCATTTCATCATCGTTCTCTAATTTTGTTCATCATTTCTTTTTCTCTTCTCTCAGTTCAATATACCTAATATACGCGTCGGAACGCTCGATTCTCTCCTCTCCCTCAGCGATGATCTCTTGAAGGTATGCCTTTCATAGCCTCGTTTTTTATTTTATTTTATTTTGCTTCCGATTCTCTTCTCCGATGTTCATTTAGGAAAATTGATCTGTTGCTGTTAATTTTTCTGATAAAACCTCGGATATAATGCTGAGTAATTTATTTGTTGAATCTTTTTTTTTTCCTTGTAACTTGAATGAATTTCGGTTTTGATATCTGGACATTCTTTCGCGTCCGAAAGGCGTTTGGCGATAGAGATTTCTCTCGTCTCTTGTACTCCGGTTCTGTTTTCGGATGGTGATTTAACGAAAATTGATCTGTTACTGTTGAAATTTAGAGATGATTCAGCGGATATAATGCGGAATAATTTATTTCTTGAATCTGTTTTTTTTTTTTTTTTTTCGCAATTTGAATGAACCTTCCGTTTCGATCCGTGAATGTTTGGTGATCGTTGGTTTTTTTTTCAGTCAAACAGCTTTGTGGAAGGAGTATCTCACAAGATCAGAAGGCAGATTGAGGAATTGGAGAGGGTTTCGGGCGTAGAGAGCAGCTCTCTGACGGTCGACGGAGTACCGGTTGATTCATATCTCACTAGGTGAATCAGTTTTTGTTCAGTGAGATCAAATTGACATGTAATGCTGTGTTTTTGAAATTCAACAAATAGATTTCTTGGTTCTGAATCTCTGGTGTTCTGTTTTTCAGGTTTGTCTGGGATGAAGCCAAGTATCCGACCATGTCTCCTTTGAGGGAGATTGTGGATGGAATTCACAGCCAAGTGGCAAAAATTGAGGATGATCTTAAGGTAGTACTTTCTCAACAATTACTTCTTCCATTTCTTATCTTTGTTCTCATTGATGTGCAAAACCTTTTTTGATCTTGATCTCGATTAGGAAAAGAATGAGACAGTAAGGTACTTGAGCAAAATAACAGGAATAAATCTTGATAAGAACAGCCAATTTGACTGTAGAACACGGTAAATGCATCGTTTGTACTTTTATGGTTTTTATTTAAGGTTCTTATGGGCCTATGGCTGAGTTTAACAACGTGCACAGTCCTTTAGATCCCCTTTTTTTTTTTTTTTTTTTTTTTTTTTGCTTTATTACTTTTTTTTAACAGATTAATTAAGTTATTCACTAATGCAATTGCTTAAACCTCTTGAAGAATTATAAGGCTTGAGGGTTTATGAATCTTGCATAGTTTGATTAGTTAGCAATGACATATATTCAATGAATTTTAAATCTTACTCTTGCTGGTTTGTTGTTTATGTTAGGTTCGCATAGCTGAGTACAACAATGTGCGCAGTCAACTTAATGCTATCAACCGAAAGCAAGCTGGAAGGTATTGTTGTTATTCAAGACCTTTTTTAGTCTCTTTTTATTGTAACTCCTAGTTGACCTACCTCCTGGCCATTTGCAGCTTAGCGGTCCGTGATCTTTCCAATCTAGTTAAACCAGAGGATATCATTACCTCAGAGCATCTGGTGACGTTGCTTGCCGTTGTTCCCAAGTACTCTCAGAAGGATTGGCTATCAAGCTATGAGACGTTGACTAGCTATGTGGTAAAATTTTATCTTATCTTTCTCACAATTCCAGCTGCTGGTGTTGCACGCCTATTTGAGATTTAAAAAATTTTATGTTGTTGGTAGTTGCCTTATGTGCTGTATACGAACTATAAATCTTCTTAAAAGTTCTTTGAATTAATAGTTCTCCCATAGGTTCTTTTTTTGTTTTGTATGGCCTTATTGATTTTTATCTTATTACTCATTATAGGCTTTTTCCAGGTTCCCAGGTCCACCAAGATGTTGTATGAAGATAATGAGTATGCTCTCTACACCGTGACACTTTTCAATCGCGTGGCAGACAATTTTAGAACAAGTGCACGTGAGAAGGGGTTCCAAGTGAGTTTATTTTAAACACTGCATTTGCTTTTTCATGTTGTACAAAGAACAAACTGCCTTGTCTCTATTTATGATTTGATCTGTTATGTAGACATCTTGACGGAGATCATACTGGTTTGGAATATATTGATGTTTTATAAAACATACTGATCTATGCTTACAGAGTTTATTTTACTAAAACTGAACTTGGTCTCATTGTCTACTTATGATTTGATCTTTGATGTGAACATATTGAAGGAGATGACACTTCTGTAGTATGAATACATGAATATTCCACAAAATAATATGATCTACATGTACCAAGAGTACTGACTACTGAGATTTTGTTTTTGTTAATCGCTTGGTTCAGATTCGTGATTTTGAATATAGTTCAGAAGCACAAGAAACTCGAAAGCAGGAGTTAGAAAAATTGATGCACGACCAAGAAAGTTTGAGAAGCTCTCTTTTACAGTGGTGCTATACCAGTTATGGCGAGGTATATTTATTTCTTTTGTGAAAAAGTGGAGCACAGTTTTATTAAGAAGTATAAAATCAAGAAAAACTGGTCTATTACGGTGGATCATACTAAATTTAGTTTGAGCATTGTGATGTTTTATCTCTAGTAATGGAAATGAAAATGATATTTTGGCTTGCTTATATTTAGATGCCCTTAACTGTTCTCTCTCTAAGTAGCATTCATATAGCAACCCTCGAATATAAAATATAAATAAAATATGTTATGGATCAGACAATTTGCCTGCATGAAGAAAATCGTCCATTCATATTTTCAATTGCAACTCAAGTTATTATTGCTATTTCTATTCATTATCATATCCTTGCTATGCTTTAGTATCAATTGTTTTTCAGAGTTTCCTTATTTCTGATAATAGTTTTCTTTCACGTTTTGTTGAGTTTCTTATTCTTGCCTGTAGGTTTTCAGCACCCTTTTGCAATTCTTTTGCTACTCTCATATATACGCAAGATCTCCTATTGCGATTTATTGTCATTGTTTCTAGTTCTATCTTTATTAAATCAGATGTTGCTATAATATCGTTTGCTCTGCACACTTTCTTATAGCTGAAATTATAGATTTATTTCATACAATTGATGAGTTTCTTTCTTACAGGTTTTTAGCTCCTGGATGCACTTTTGTGCTGTACGTGTCTTTGCAGAGAGCGTTCTGAGATATGGTTTGCCACCATCTTTCTTGGTAAGTACTCTATTTTTCCATCACCATTTCTCAACAAGCACTCGCGCTCTGACTAATTGCTGAGTATTGAAATGATTTTCAGTCATGCGTTTTAGCTCCATCTGTGAAAAGAGAGAAGAAAGTACGCTCAATCCTTGAAGGATTGTGTGACAATGCAAACAGGCAAGTCGTTGAGCTCCTTTCTGTGTTGTGATATGTAGTTAGCCTCTACTTCGATGTAAGGCTTATTCATCGATCTAATACCATAATTAATATTTAATTCTACTCAGATTCCCTATATTGCCAGTAAGACTGGTGCATATTTCCCCATTCTTGACTATTCTAGAGAACCGACTCTTACTAGGAAATATGTTGTTCATCACCATTGGTGATGCAATCATCACTTGTGTCGGACTGTCAGTGCATCATAACTGTCACAGAGAAGCGCATGACTCTGTAGTTTTTTATTATTTGAGAGTTATATTCTATTGCCACACGTGGTGATGAATAGCATTGTCCTTGTTAGTTTAAACACTTAGCATTGACTGATTCTTCATTGTGTTCATTTAAAATTAATTTATCTCGATTTTTGACCCAGCCTTGAGTGTTAAATTTCCGGTTTCGAATTGCTGATATTGGTCTGTTTGATGTTTTGGTACAGCACATTCTGGAAAACAGATGATGAGGCAGGCGGAGGAATAGTTGGTTTAACAGGTGAAGCTGATGCCCATCCGTATGTTTCCTTCACAATTAATCTTGTTTAATCGGAGCTCGGTTACAGTTTTATTGTCCATTTTGATATTAAAAAAAAAAAAAAATCTGGACCTGCGGATTCCTCTTAAGAATAAATGTGGGCGGGATTAACAATACTGTATATTAGCAGCATTAATGACCATATTCTTTGGTGGTTTATTTATAAATTTCAGCTTGGGGATTTATGAGGGTTTAATCCAATATGAGAGATGAAATTTGTGTGAATCTATGTTGTCGCTGACTCTACCAGCGACATTTACATAAGGTTAAGAGCTAAAATTATCGCTGTTCCTTTTTTTCTCTGTTTATGTATGGATTTTCAAGACATTGGATTTGTTCAAATTAAGATTCTGGTCGTGCCTATTATTATTATCGTCGTTATTATTATTATTATTATTATTATGGAAATTAAATCAATAGTATGTGTTTACTTATATAATTGAAGATTTTTAGGTAAGGGAAAAAAACCATTATAAACACGGTTTTGAGTGGTTAGATCTAAGCTTTGTTAAATTGTTATACTTTAATTATATATTTATTTGATATGATCTAATAATTTAAAATTGTCTTAGTGGAGGTATTTTCACATCTTATCACGGAATTCTTGTTTATAATAAATACATTATATAAATAATTTGGATTATTTTCTTTTTTATCATTGTCGTGACAGTAAGTAATTATTGTAATTACCTCGAGTAATTATGATGCATTACCATGCTGTAATTAGTAAAAATGTATATTATATATCTTGATTCTTATCTTGATTTTCGTTTATGAAAAAACATCATTTTCTGTTGAAAGCCGCTCGAGTCTTAAGAAAACGTTTTATTTTATTTTTTAAAGGTCGGTTTTGCTCTGTTAAACTTTTTGTGACTTGAGAATTTAGTTTTTAGGACAAATTATCAACCAAAACAAACAAACAAACAAACAAAAAAGCAAGCGACTTGGTTATTTAATCCTTAAATTTTTCTAGTATATAATTATCGTTAAAGAATTGTGTAAAAGTACCGAGACTCGAAGGATACTGGTGCTCAAAGATACGAATCATATTCATGAACCATCGATCTTTTGAACAAAATGCAAACAAATTCATGCATTTTCCAGAAAAAAAAAATGAAAATGAAAATCATGCAATATTCTAGACCAGAGAAGGGAAAAAAAATCAAAATCATTATTAACTAGGAAGCTCTTGAATTTAAAGAAACAACCAATAAAAAAGGGTGCAAATGCAATATAAGAACTATAAAATGAATTGAAAATAACATAAACAGGCATAAATCCCATGCCCGGAATTCTTGAAATGGCAATGTAGATCCCCCATTTGCAGCATTATTACCTAATCCTAACTTAACAGGGGCGGCAAAATGATCCTGAAATTCAAAATTCAAATCCATATCTAATCTAACTAGAAAGTTAAAGTTTTTCGCGAGGATGAGAACAAAAAACCCTCTGCAAGAAAGCAAAAAGAAAAGGTAATAACCAAAATGGAAAAATTGGAGACATATTCCCAATGCAAAAGACTCTCCCGTAGTAGTTTCAAGAAGCTTCAGCAACCCTATCATGTTTATTTCATCCCCGTACGACCACGTTTTCTCAGTTCCATAAATAAACAATAAAAACCGCCATGATTTTGACCGTTATAACATTTTAAACCTTTGCAAGTTCAGTAGCAGCAGTGGTGGCAGCGGGAGCAACACCGCCGGTCGTTGGCCTGCAAATCATTACCAAATATCCAAGAATCAGATAAGCAAAGATTTGATAAATTTGAAACGTCATCGAATCCGAATCAAAAGATTAGGGTTGAATGAGGAAACTTACAGTCCCACAAAAACTTTGAATGCATCATAGAGACCCCATTGAGCTCCAGTAAGAGTTCCGATCATGACAATACGTAGAGGAAGTCCACGGGTGAAGAGACCCCACAAACCGAGCTTCTTTACCGCCTGCACAACATAAACAAGTCAATCAGTCGAATCAAAACTGATATGAAGATAGTGCAAATAGCTCCAGAGGACGAAAAATCAAGAACTATAACACAATACTCACATCACCAACAGTTGCTCCTTTGGCATTGTTGAGGAATGAGACAAGATTGTCAGCAGGATGAGACACAATAGCACAGAACACACCCGCTACGTAACCACCAGCAAAACTCACACCAAGCTGAAGAGATTTGCTGCACTGGTCCTTTGGTGTTGGGATGGAGTACTTGTAGATATATTCCACAATAGTCTCAAAGGAAGCGAACTTCATCATAGTGTCTGCAAGACAAAACCAAGTGTTATAGTTTATAACAAACCAATCAGAAGTGATGAAAGTAACTCAAAGTGCAGCGTCTAGTGCAGCCAGTGGATTATGAAAACATAAAAAAATGCATCCAGCACTTAAGTTTCACAGAAATTTGATGAACGTAGAAGCACAAAATCAGACAGAAAAGGATTTCCACCAATATCATTTGAACACCATCAATTATTGGGAAAGACATACTAAATACATTAAACAAGAAAATATGAACAATTTCAATCACCAACTTACAAGGTATTTGGCGACCCCAGAGTGGAACAAGACCCTTGTACAACCTGCAAATTGGGATTGTTCAGGCATACTTCCAAAACATGCAGTACTGTAGCATATATAGTATTAAGTAATCAAAAAGCTTCCGCATAGTAAACATACCCAAGAGTGCCTTCAGATTTGACGAACTTGGGAAGCCCATCTGATAAACCACGAGCAAATCCAGGTTGAGTTTGAACTCGGACCTTCACTGCTTCAAATGGGCAGAGAGCAACATCTGCTATCACCTCCGCAGATGCAGAGCCAGCAAGGTAAATCAAAGTCTTGTACTTGGCAGCATACTCTGGTCCAGCAATGTCAGAGTAGGTCTTCTTGAAAAACTCGTAGAATCCGAACTTGCAAGCACCCTGCGCACTGTAACCAAGGAGGGTCGGCACCCATCCCCTGAAGAAACCTCTGGCACCCTGCTCCTTGAGTAGAACTCCGAACCCAGACGTGATACTTTTGTACTTTGCAGGGTCAATCTGATAGGGGCGAAAAAAAAAACGAATTGGAATCTCAGTTGACAACAATTATTGTATAAGGAGGCATCCCATAGCAGATATCAAGCATGTAATACACGAAATGAAAATGACTGATTTGAGTAACATGAGAAATTGAATGGAGCCGGGAAATTTCAACGATTCAAGTGCCATAATACCCTAAATTTTATAGAGTCAACCAGTCAATCCATGTTTTCTACAAGTACTCTTATAATCTACAAATGACATCACTGTGCGCTCAAAATCTTGTATCGTAGACTCTTAGCATATCATTCAACTAATGAAATGGAAGTTCTATTGACCAAGAAGAAAGGAAAGAGCACGTGCAAGAAAATCTGGAATTCAAATTCATGTCATAATGTATCATTCAATTAACAAAATGGACGTTCTATTGACAAAGAGAAAAAAGTAGCAGCACCAGCAAGAAATCTGAAATATGATATAACAATATTTAATTTTAACAATGTAAAAGAATTAAAACTAAATCAGCATGGATCCTCACGCGGAGAGTAAACATAGATCCGAAATGGATTGCACATCCCTCACCTAATTAGTTATATTTGAATTCAATAAAGATAAAAACCGAACTCTGCTAAGATAACGTCGATCAGTGCTCATATGTATCGAACTATCAAGGATAATGAGAAGTACAAAATCCATCGAGAAGAAAGGCTCCGCTAAACCAATTAAGCATCGAATACTAAGTATAAAAAGATATAGATCATGACCGAAAGCTGAAACCTCAACACTATTTGAATTTCATATGGCATGAAAAGAGAATAAATCGCAGATCTAACGAGTCAGAAATGGAGAATTCAGTAGACGATCTTCCATGTTTTATTCACAAGAAGAAATAACAAAAAGAAAATTATATACACATCATAGATCTAATCTCAAAAACGGAATATAAAGCAGAAAATATCAGAAATTCATCGGGAAACAAATGAAAAAGAAAACGACGGGTCTGAGGAAATCGGACCTGCATATTGCACTTGACGAGATCGAGAGGAGTGACGGCCATGTGAGTGAGACCGCAGCTAAGGATTCCTCCTGCCGTACAGGCGGCGTAGAAGGCCGGCGAGTACATCTCGATCTTCTTGCTCGGCTCTTCCGGAGACGCGATGATGAAGTTCTTCCTCGGAGCGATCGGCTCGACATCAGGTGAGGCGGCGGCTGTAGGGCGGGCGTGGAGGATTCTGTCGAGCGCGAGTGTCCTGGCGGAGGTGGAGGAGTAGAGGAAGTTAGGGATCAGAGAGTTACGCGAGGGTTTCTCGGAGAGCGCCATGGCAGAGACAGAGAGAGAGATCGAGAAGGTTTGTAGAGGAAGAAGACGATCGATAGAGAGAGAGAGAGAGAGAGAGAGAGAGAGAGAGAGGTTTTTTGATCTTCTTCTCTCCCCAAGCTCTCGCTGCCAAACGCTGCTTTCTTGCTTCTTTTTTCAGATTCCGCCTTTTTATTATTGGTTTCTTTGCCCTACCTTGCGTTATATATACGAAATGGCCACTCACAAAACTACCCTGTGCTTCCCCCTAAATTACGATTTTGTCACTCCGATTGTCCAAACATCATGATTTTGGCATTTACTTTTTTATTTATTATTATTTTTTTAATGCATAAAAGCTAGGCACAAGTGAGTTTGGAATTGATTTTTGTTTTTTAAGAATTATTTTAAAGGGATTATGTTTATGTTTCTAATCAAAAAATGATTCGACTTTTCTAGATGGTGGAGAAAATTCTTCAAATAAAAGAGATGGAGAAAATGTTTTTGTTCTACGTGGTGGACTTTGTTTTTTCACGTTTGTTTTCTCTTTTTGCTATGAAAACTTGGTCAATATTGCAAAAACAAATTAAAAACTGAATCCAATAGTAGAGGAGGAAAAAAAAAAAAACTTGGTGCGAATTGGGCGAATGCTTAGTGGCATAATTTGATTGGGAGGTCAATGGAATTTGTAGTCGTGAACGGTTAAGGAAAAGGTCAAAAGGGTTTGAAGACCAGCTTCCGATTTTGGGAACCATAATGGCATATTCCTTCAACGTGCCTTGGGAAAATCAATTCCCATTCTCTTCCATTTTGCAACTTGTAAAACCTTTACTGTTGTTAGAAGCTAGCATTTTACAATTTTCTCATACTTTACTTCTTAGCAACTTCCGAGACCCCACTGGGAAAACAAAAGAGAACCAAGACCATTGCTTAAAATGCACTTGAATTCCAGTTATTTTCTGAAAGCAATATTCCTCCCTATTTTAGAGTTTCCAAAATACTTAGGGGGCGTAATTTCATGTGGGAAAAAACATCTGAATGATATGCTCTCCATAGGATGAGTCGTTTAATATGAAAATGAAACCTTCTAGTCCACAGGGATTCATTTGACACCGACCGCCTCCACTTCGGCCTCCATTGTTTTTTATTATGTGTGTAGCTTCAACAGGTTAACCATGAAATATTGGAGCATCTCAAAGAAAACAAACAGAAGACAACATCATGTTTCTTTCATAAAAGCTACATCTGCTGATAACAAATCCAATAAATAGAGAGCTAGAGTATCTTACTAGCAACCTCCCTGCATTTTCGCTTATGAAGCTTAAATATCTTATAGGTTACTGTCAATGAACTCCCCTGATTGTAATCTAGATGCAGTATCGGACATGGAAATGAAGACCATGGTGACCCTTCAGCAGAAGACGCTTATTTCCAGATTATGAAACTAAAGATCCCATCAGGAGGGTTTTTTTTTTTTTTTTTTAAGCAGTCCTTGTTGTCTTCAGAAGCATTTCTTCAACTTTGCAGGCAATCAGTGTGCTGTTAGCAGATGATTTCTCTTGTTGGTTCCCCAATTCCAACATGTCTATATATCAAAACAAAATGAGGTATACTCGAACAAGAATTTTACTGCTTCTTGTTTTTGAAACTTCAAGATATGAAAGTTGTTGTAGTTCGATGTAAGTAAAGAGGTTATTGTTCAACAAATCTATACAGACACCATCATTTGCCGTAGACCTCTTATTACTAACCATGTCAATCAATTCAAAATTGCTGATTCTTGGTGTTTAACTTTCTCTTTTCCACAAAGAGATCACCAATAATCTCCACAAGAACAGAGACCACCCTTAAAATGGTGGAATCTCTTCAAATCTCTTACCACAATTTCTCGATTATCAACTTTCGATATCAACTTAAGTACGGTGTGACAGTCACCACAAACCCTCAGATTCTTGATGATCTGTATTGTTGAGCCGGGAACAGAATTTATGATTCCAAACGCAACAGCCAGCTTCTCACTATGAATCCGCAGCGTCATCTCCTTCTCTTCCTCATCTACATCATGAATAACGGATGTAATATTTGGTGAGTAGCCAACTTCTTGCAACTTCACAGTTATTTCTTCCAAATACGAATAGATTCTCTCATGTTGAGGATGCTCTCTATCTCCAACCATAAATACATGAACCCTACCCTTCAGTTCAACCAGACTGAAACCCGGCGGTTTAACGATCCCGTGATTTTTCATTAGTCCTCTCATCCTCTCAACATCTTCCCACCTACCAGCATCGGCATATATATGGGAGAGCAAGACGTAGTACCCGCAATTACTTGGATCTAGCTCAAACAATTTTCTAGCAGAAATCTCAGCAAGCTCCACATTCTTGTGTATCCTACAAGCTCCAAGAAGCGAACCCCACACTATGAAATCAGGGCTTATTTTCATTTCCTTTATCAAATTGTAAGCCTTGTTGAGATACCCAGCACGGGCAAGAAGATCAACCATGCAGCCATAGTGCTCGACCCCAGGCTCTATGCCGAATTTGTGCCTCATGGAATTAAACCAATGCCAGCCTTCTTTTAGTAGACCAGCGTGGCTGCAAGCCGAAAGAACTGACACGAAGGTTATGTAGTTTGGTTTTGCCCCAACTCTAACCATCTTGTGGAAGACTTCTAAAGCTTCTCTTGCGCGGCCGTGCATTCCATAACCAGCAACCATGGCAGTCCATGATTTAACATTCTTCTCCTTCATGCAATCAAATGCCTTCCTTGCTATGTCCACTCTCCCACATTTGCTATACATGTCAATCATAGCCGTATTAACCACCACATTTTCTTCCAATCCCATTCTTAGAACCTGCACATGGAATAAACATGTGGAGTGTGTGAAAATTGGAAATTCAGAAAGAACAAAGCAGAATAAGCACGTCAGCATCCCAATGGGCTCCATTAAACTTTTGCCCCAGTCAAAATATATTTTGTTATATTTTAAAATTTTTTCATTATCTATCTCAAGTGTTGACTTTTATGTATACTCAATATTTTAAACTTTAAACCCCAAATAAGCCACAAGTCAACTACAATACTAAATGTAAATTACACACGATTACAAGTTTGGTTCATTTGAAAGAGAAAAAGACAGATACAAATACACAAAAGGAAAAAAATAAATAAAGAGGTAAAAGAAAGACGGAAAGTTTAAAAAAATAATAAAAAATTATTGCATTGTTATTTTAGTTCAAATTTCATTTTATTTCATGCCTCTTGAAGAAATTTTTTTGTCTCCGATAGTGAATGTCATTATGGACCAACGCAACCCATTGCGGGCTTTCATACACAAATCTGCTGAATGGAAAGTAAACTTACTCCCACGGCAAGGAAAATTGGGTTACCTGATTGTGTATACATTTTCCTATGCGCAAAGTCCCTGAATGTGCACAGGCTAATAGCAAAGCAGACAAGGTCACAGCATTGTAGCTGACACCTCCAACCTTCACCATCCCATAGAAAACTTCCAAAGCCTTTGTGGACAATCCACTCTGCGCATACACCGCAATCATTGAGTTCCAAGAAACTACATCCTTCTCAACCATTTCGTCAAACACCTTCCTACACAGAGCTGTCTCACCGCACTTTGCATAAGCATCCATCAAAGTGTTTGCAACGCCCAAATCCCCACCAAACCCGCTCTTCACCACAACCCCATGAACAGAATCTGTCACTCCCATGTCTGACACGCGAGAACAAGCCGAAAGAACTGACACCATGACCACTGGGTCCACAGAACACCCCCCATCACCACTCTCATCACTCAAAAACTCCTTAAAAAGTGACAACGCCACGTTCGCACTCCCGCTCTGGACGTAACCAACGATCATGGCTGTCCAGGAGACAACATTTCTTTGAGGCATAAAATCAAACAGCTGGCGTGCGTCCCGCAAATCATCACATTTACAGTACATGTCAATGAGAGCAGAGGACACGAAAATGTCGGATTCTAGAGCGAAGAGCAAGGCCTGCTGGTGGGTTTGCTTGCCGGAGCGGAGATCGGAGAGAGCCGAGCAGGATTTGATGACGCAGGGGAAAGTGGACCTGGTGGGGCGGAGAGAGAGCTTTCGCATGGAGGAGAATGCGAGGAGAGCCTCGACGGAGAAGCCGCTGCGAGCCAAGTCGGCGATGACGGAGTTCCAGTTGGAAACATTTGTACTGTCTACGTACTTGTTGAACCAAGCTCTGAGATTGTTTGGATTGTTGTTATTATTGTTGGCTGAAACTGAAGAAGAAGTAGAAGAATATTGGTGGTTTCTGAAGAGTTTCTTTACGGGTTTTGTGGTGAAGAAGGAACTGGTATTTGAGAACTTCATTCGTTAAGTATAGAGTTTGGCCATCTTCTTTTTGCTCCTTTATATGTCTAAGAAAGTGCTTCGTTCTTGTGTAAGTTAAGAAGTTGGAGTTTTGAAACCAGTTTTGGAGCCAAGTTTGTTACTTAGCGTGCAATCTATGAACTTGTATTCGTGTCTGCTTTTTTACGCCCACCCAGAAAAAAAAGGTCGATTTATTTATTTTTCAAAAAGGTCAATTTATTTACTTATTTTCTCTTTTTTTAATTATTATTAATGGTCTAGGAGTAGTATTAGAAGAGAGGGAAAAAAAAAAAAAAAAAAAAAAAAACAAAACAAAAAAACATCATGCTAACCAATTAATATGGAACCTATACAAAAGCATTCCTTTGTAAAGAAAAAAAAATTAAGAAAGGGAGAAAATCAGATTAATTTGTTTATTTACTTATTCATTGGTATTTCATGTTAAAAAAATGTCATAATCATTTTTTTCTCCTTGGACTTTTGATTGCGTCACCTCTCCTTACACAACATATCATAGTTTTTTAATAAAAGATTAGTTCTGCTTTGCTCATCAAAAGGCACGAAGAAATTAATACAAAATCCCTCTGAAACTGAAAACCATGCAATTCATCATATTTATTACAAATCCCTATCCAAAAAACAAAAAAACAAACAAACAAGCAAAAGCTTCTAATCTTACAAATGATGTGCTTAAATAGCATAATACACAAGCTTCAATGCAAACAAGCCACAAAGTCCAGCAAAATACACTTGCACCCCTCTTCTATTGCAACCAGCTGATGAAACCCTTCCCACAAACTCACCTGAGCTTGGCACAGGTGCAGAGGCCTCCGAATTAGGCGGCCCCGCAGAGCTCACTGGCTGCTGTGCCCCCGGAGAAGGGAAGAACGACGACATGTTTGGCGTGGTAACATACGGTAAAACAGCTGGAGAAGCCGATATTGTGGGCACACTTGTTGAAGGCATGGCATGAAAATTAAGAAACAAAATAGTAATTATGAATAAAAGAGTATAGAAGTTGGAGAAAATGGCCATGGATACTTGAGAATATCAGCCAAATTCAAATGACAAATGTAGTGGAGTGAGGGTGAGACTTGAGAGGGTGAAAAGATAAAGGAATATCAAATAGGTATTTTGATTCAATGTGGTGCTATTATTGTGACACTTACTTTGGAAGTTTGGTGGGCTTCACGGGGTAGCAGTGACAGTTTTTAATTGTTAGTGTCTTTTTATGCCATTTTTAATTCAAACCATTTTGTTGCTATTGCATTTGTCTTGGTGTTGTAGCAAGTAAGGACAGATTCCTCTCCATAACGTGGCATAGGCATACAGCAACGGCTATGAAGCTTACCATGGCTTTATTGACATTTTCATGGAAAAAGTGTGGTATAAAAAAAAAAAAAAAAAAAGAACTTGGATATGTATGATATAAAAAGTCTAGGGCATCATTCAGTTCGCCGATTCGAATTTTCAATCCAAACTGAAATATAACTTTATGTGAGTTTTTAATTGTATCAAAAAAATTATATATGATTTTTTATAAGAATTTTTAACTATAATAAAATTGAAATTAAAAAGTGAAATGAATAAGGCTTAGATTTTAGGACCCGTTGAGGCCCCTATTGATGCATCCCATCGCCACCTGCACATGATCCCACATGTGAAAGATCTTCTCTTACCTCAAAATCTAGCATGGATCTCTTCGCTCCTTTTTTTTTTCTTTTTCCTCAACGCAAAAACTCCTACTATTGTTGGACACATATTAAGGAGTTGATCCTGTTGTTGGATTGTTACCGATAGTCCGATTCTTGAACTTCAGATTAATCAAAATTATATATACATATAAGGCAAATCATATCAGAATATTAAAGAAAAAAAAATTACAGTAAAACAGTTTCTTCTAATAATTGCCGGTCACCTTAATTTGTGGCATTAGGTGTTTCACCTTGATTCTTTTTTGCAAGCAACTAACGTGACTTCCTTCTTTTTCTTTTCCCTACTTGTCTTGTCCCTTTTAGAATTGCCTATATCAAGAAAAAGCTATCATCCTCAAACCCCGCCGCTTTTTAAGAAAATAGGAAGAATATTCCCAAAAGAAAATTACAGTAGACTATTAAAAAAATAAGAAAAAAAAATGTCTTGAAGATTCAGATTAGAGTATTCTAATCTAATGAACCTTTAAACTAGAGTCCAAGCCATAAAAGCCGTGAAGTTAAGAAATAAAAGACTCACATATTGTGAGCTCGTCACATACGAACGTGTTTTGAGGAAATGGATGTAACACGAAGCATGCCAACAGGGCTGCAGAACAGAAAAAGTTTTCCAATTTTGAAAAGAAAATAAGACTTATTTTTTCCTTACATTACAGGAAATTCATACTTTTCACTAACTGTAACTCCTGTAAATGCTACAAATCAAAAGAATCACCCAATACAAAGATCCAACTCCTGCGGCAATAAGTTTTCTTTTGAGTTGGTAAATCCTGAAATAAAAATAAATATGGCAAAGATTACAACAAGGAGCAAAAAAGAAGGTGCTGCAGCTTCGTTCAGTACCATGTATCGCAACATAATGTTCATTTTAGAAATCGTGCGAGGGCTTGCCCAATAATTGAGACCTCACTGTCCATTGGTGAATCTCGGGTTAAACACTCCAACTAGAGAAGCCTAAGGTGTGCAGTATCGTTCAACTTTTTTATCTGCCAACCAGTTTTCCACGAATGCTGTAACACCGTCACCGAAGAATCTTCTATGCAGATCTTATGCGACATCAGCGGGCTGCAACCAAGGATTCCTGTGAGGAGACACTTAATTGGCACTGCGTGGCTGAAAATACCAATACAAGATGAAGCATATGCAGAGCTCCTGCCACTTAAATCGTGTAAGGAGTTTTGGTGGTTGGGTTCTTGAGGGGAGATTTCGTCTTCAGCCTCATGCTCTCCAGTAGAAGTCATAAATTGCAGTCTGCTCTTCCCTGATTTTTTTCTCAGAAGAAACCCCTGTCGTGGCCTCTGAAGCATATCCCAGTGAGGTGCAGCCAGAGACGGCCCTTCTCGGTCATGAATCGAGTTGGTTAAAGCATGGGGATTGTGGAGAGCAAACCCTTGGTTCTCCATCTGATGGAGTGATGAGAAATCAGACCTCAACTTTTCAGGCAGTCCTAAGACTGTCCCGTTCAGGAAATTAACCATTCGGAATTCCACTTGCCTAAGTGACTCCCCAGATGGGGCAGAAAAATCAGGCTGAATACTGTCAATGAAGCTCGAAATTTCAGCTGAGTATATTTCTGAGCGGAGGCAGCCCTCCCAGTGCCCCTGACTCATCTCCACAAGTGCATCTGAGGTTTGTATCCGTTCCTCTGCGAAGTTCATTTCCTGCACAATGTTATAGCCATAGAGACAAATTCTTTCATTTTAACATATAGCCAAAAAAAATATCAAAAGTCTATAATTCTTGTGGGCGGCTAGACACATAATAGATAGCTTGAATCATCATAAGCTTGTCTTAAGAAATCGTAATGAAGAAAACTAAAAGCACGTAATTAGAATCAATAAAAGCAAACATCATGCTGGCACTGCATACTTTAAATCTTGTTCTAAAATAATCCCTAATGGACAAGTATACACATTATATTTCAATCATATGTTTGATTTCTTTCCACACTCCTCTTCTTTCCTTTTTCAAACCCGAGGTTTCACGCGTAAGAATCAGACTACTCTATGATAGAAGAATTGATGTAAGAATCTAGAGAATCTTTCGATGGATATATTCGTAAAGCTTAAAGAAAGTCCGATTGAGAAACATAAACTTCCGCCCCAGGATGGATGTAATCCAACGCAAATCTGCTCTTTTCTCTTTGAAAGGAGTTCTTTTCCTTTCCGTTTAATCCATTACGAATTGATAAACATGGCCTTAGTTCCCATGGGCCGCCATTAATGGGATAAATTACTTCCAACATTCTTATATATGCTTTTTACACATGCAATTTAAGTCAACAAAGAAGAAAAATAGATCAACACTGCACATAACTTTCAGCAGATAGGTTTCTCCTACTAAGCAATTCTATTCAATTGAGTAAATCAGTTCACAAGAAAACCCCTTCTTGTAGCAACCTTTCGAATAGCAAGAGTTCCTCAAACTAACAGATTAAACAACTTTGATCATACCAAATTAATTTTAGTTCTCGAAAACTAAATTCTAGTATGATGCACTTCCTACATTCCCATATATGCTCTTGAACATCAATACTAGTCACCAAAAATGGAAACTTTCAACACAATAGGTTTCTCCTTCTAAGCAATTGCATTCAATTCGATTTTGCAAACACAAATCCAGAAACAGATACCTGACAAACCGAGATCGCCATGGCTCGCGCCCGATCCAACGGCGAAGAATACACGGCATTGAATCGGACACCCTGGGAATTCAAGAACACCGCCAAGGCCCTAGCTTGGCGCTTCCCATTGGCCGTGAGCGCCGCATTGGGGCACCGTCCAGCGACCAAATCCGGCCTCAGACTCAGCTGACACTCTCCGTGGCTAATCAGAAAGACCTCCGTCGTCACAACCATCGCCGCCACCATCCGATCCTCCTCCACCATGGAGAAGCTCCGCGAGAACACCGACGGCGGTGGAGGCGGAGGAGGAGGAGGAGGAGGCGGAGCCAGGACGTTGTAAGGGTCCCACACCTTGATCGAGGGCCCCAGGCGCGGCGTTCCGAGCGAGGAAAGCTGCGGAGAGAGCGGCGACGCGGAGGCGTGGCAGGGAAGCATCTCAGGCTCCTGTTGGAGGACTTTCTTCACCAAATGATTGCCGTCCACTTCCCTCCTCCTCCTGTTGAGGTCGCCATTGTTATGATCCTCCTCTGGCTCCTCTTCCTCGTCGTCTTCTTCCTCATCGCTGTCTTCTGGAACTTGTACGGACTGAGACGAACCCATTAGGAAGGGGCTAAACCCTAATTCAATGCCGTCGAATCACAAACCTTCTTCTTCAGAGGTCGATTGTGATCGTGCATTGTAGAGCAATCGGAAACATCAAAGGAAAAAAAAATCAGGGATTCAAAAGTGAGAAATCTAGGGCTCGTGGAAATTGTGAGATCTATGGAAATTTTAGGTATTCAATTAAAATAAAAAAAATGGAGGTTGTGTGTGAATGAGAAGAAGCAGGAAATCCTAATGGTTAGGGTTATTATTATGTTTATGTTTATTTGTATGTTCATGTATTGTAGGAGAGTGAAGAAGATGCATACGATATGTTTATTAACTTTTATTTCTTTTCTTTCTTTTTCTTTTTCCGGTTTTTCACTTCCAGAAGGGGGGGAAACAACATATTAGTTATGATACATTAGTGATCTGTAATCTGTAATGTTATAATGACGGGCTTTATTTATTTATTTATTTGTGGAGAAAATGAAAAGAAAAAAAATCCACGAATTATAAATTTTAAGCAATGAAATAAAAGGAATGATGGATTTATTTGTTTATTTGTGGAGAAAATGAAAAGAAATATACATTTTAAGCAATAAAATATGGAATGATGGATTATCATTATTATTATTTTATTATTTTATTTATTGCTCTGAAGAGAATTGGATCTCATTTGTGTTCGATGACTGACTTCTGTCTGTTTCCAATGCTGTAGAAAATTACATTTTACTTTTTCTTTTTAGGAAATTGTTAAAATCAATTGCGACTTGTATTATACAATTTTAGGTTTTTCTGAAATAGTATTTTGTAAGGGGAATAGTAATGTTAATGACCTTTATCAAATTTCGTTGATTTTTTTTATGTTTTATTCTAATATATAATTGGGTTCAAAACGGTACATCCGGTTTTATTTTACATTCTAACCATAAATTTTTTACTTAATCAAAAGTTAATGACCTTTATCAAAAGTTTTTTTACTTTTTAAACTTCTAAAAGTAAATAACCTATTTACTAAAGATTGGAAAATAATAGGCCATCTTTACCTTTTAACTGTTTTTTTTCATTTTTACTCTTCTTTTTTACGGTTTACTTCGCAGATCGTCATCATCAGTGCAGGTGACGGGATCTTGAATTTGGCATGAATTCTGCACAATAAGTATAAATTGGAGGGGAGAGAGAGAGAGAGAGTGAGATCCATAAGAGAGAAAACGTTTTGAGAGAGAGGAGAGAGAGAGAGAGCTAAAGGAGGAGGGTAGTTACGTTGAGGAAAGAGATAGGAGGAGAGAGAGTAAAATTAACGGAGGAGAGTAGAAGAAGAAGAAGACGAGGAGAAAGGGCTGAGAGACAAGAGATTGTTTGGATTTATAAATTGAGGATAATTTTGTAATTTACTTTGTTGGCAATCTAAATTTACGCTTAGTTGGCCTATTTATTAACTTTTAATAAACTTGGCCTAATAATTTTTATTCCTCTTTTAATTTAGCCTATTTCTCTTTTTTCCTTTTTATTTTTGTTTGCAACTACGAATAAATGGGTTTGTTTGTTTTTTTCCTTCTAATAAAAATGACACTGTGATGTGAGTTTGGATGTGATGTGCAAGGGAATGGATCGCCGAGACAACCGGCCCACTCCTTGACCAAACAGCCGAATCAGATCAGCCCAATCTTCTCTAAAACGATTCTTTCCTTTTTTTATTTTTGAGAACTCACTTTCTAAATGCATGATATCTTTAACCATTTTCTTTTGATTAATACTTTTTGAATAATATAATTTTTTGATTAAAAGAAGATGAAGAAGTAAAAATTTAAGATCTGTATTTGTCTCCTCTTTTTTTTTTCTTTCTTTTCTTTTTCTGCTAAACTTCTAAAATGATTGATTTACACTGAGCAGCATAAATGGCAAACTCGTAATTTCAAAAAAAAAAAAAAAAAAAAGCAAACACGTATGTTACAAAGATGGAAAGGAAAAGAAAAAATTAGAAAAAGAAGCTCAACAGCTACCAAGCCTATATTTACATGCACACACACTTATCATTTTTTTTTTCTTTTTCCCTTTAAAAGTAGACCACCATTTGGAGACGAGATAGTACCGGAGGTGAAAGGATAAACGGCAGAGAACAACATGAACGACAACATGGAAAACGACATGAGAGTAGAAAAAATACAGGAAAATCTACGAGCCAAATGTAAAAGCTACAGAAAACCAGAAGGAACGACAGAAAGCATTAAGACAACAACGCGCACGACGACGAAATGAGTAAAAACTACATATAAGTGTTGGAGCCAATGGGACACTAGAAAAACTACAAGAGTAAAAGGATCGGAGAATAAAATAACCATAAAGCGTTAAATCACATGATCAAGAAAATAAGAACAAAAACTAGAAAGAATGAGATATGATACAACATTAACTCGAAACACCAACATCCAAGACGACATCAAATATTGAAAACGACTGACGAAAAGATTCCATAACCGACAATAAACAAGAAAAAAAAATTAACGACGCCATAACGTATAAACGACAGGAAGGAGGAACGATTGACGACACTAAGACAACAAAGCAGGACGACAGGTCGACAGCAAAGGCCAACGACATAAACATGCAAAAACAAAAATATAAACCTAGAAAACGACAGCAACGATAAAACGACACAAATTTACAGATATATCATATCATATATGCGAAAGAAACAACAACCAGAGAAAATAAATCAAAAAGGATAAAATAAAACATAAATTTAAAGAAACTGCCACCAATAAAACCTACAATAACGAGAACAGAAATAACGATAAACAACCCCACCTATTTGGAGGGAAAAAAAAAACACACACACACAACAACATCATTACAGGACGGCTGGATTGATATTTTACTTTTTAACACCATCATCATAACATGCAAGCCCAACTGCATAATATTCTAATATAATCTCCATACACACTGTTATATGTTATTTATACTACTCTCTAGTTCAAACGTTAAAGTATAAAGCTTTATACGATAGAAACAGTTGAATATAATACTAGCAATTATATATAATATATAGATAAATATCCTGTCGTCTCATTGCTTAAATAAATAGTTGTGATTAAGAGACAACAATCTAGCTTTCCACAATATTGTGGGTTTGCTGTCTGATCCTTGTCTCCACGAGATTATACTTCTCTTCTCCCGTTGCTTTACTTGCCAGGATAATTAGGTGTGTAGAGATCTTTGTACCCAATAATGCAGTTTTAATTTGCTTAGTTTGTAGTAGTATATCTCTTTAGTCTTTTTTTTTTTTTTTCTGGTTACGAATCTCTTTACTCTTTTTTTTTTAATTATTATTATTGTCATGGCATCTTCTTTTTTTTCCCATATAGATTAGCCATTAATTATAGGTGCCTTAGACTTCATGGCAGTATATTAAAATGAGCACTGCTTGTCCATCGCCATGTATATTTGCATTTTATTTTAACCATTTTTTTCCTAGTTATCTTCCTATATACTGCAGAAGATATTTATTAAAATTTGTATTGTGTTAATTTCGTAAAGGTGGTAGCAAATTCGGATGCTCACACCTATTTAGATCTATTTTGTTTTGGCTCCTAGCTAGCTAGTGAAATTGAGATTTGTGTACTCAAAGAGCATTAACAACTAGTCTCGCGGTGAATAAGAAGCTGTATTTTTGTTTTTGAGTACAATTATATGGACTTTGGACCTATATAGTTAAATATATTTTTTTAAATAAAAACCAATTATAACTTCAAATCACTTAATTATCTGCTGGAGTAGTACGTTGCCTTAGATTATGTTCCCTTTATTTCTATTTTTTCAATCCTCTGACTTATCTTCTATTCTTAATTTCTTAAAGTCTTCACTCTTACTAGATCTTCCACATGTAGTGAGGCACCAACAAGAGTTGAACTTGATCTCTGCAAATATATATATATATATATATTATTCATTAGCATTATAATTAGTTATTGTTGTTGTTTGATGAGTAGCAATAGATAATTATGGCACACCAAACTGTAATATATATATATTTTTTTGGTTTATTTTCTCTTGGCATTGAATTGCCTTATACCTACTACTGTCTGTTACTAAGAAATGATGTTTGCATTCATGTGACTCGTTGTGATCAAATACTTCTTCTCAGTACTATATTGAAAATGGTCATGATTATTAATGGTCCCGTATATGGCCGGCCTCTTTTCCATCGTCCAACACACTCAAATTCTCTTACCTATTTTTTTTCTTTTTTTGGGATTTTTTTTTCTTTTATTGAGTGAGCCAATGAGGGATCGACTCCATTAAAAATTTAATACTCAAAAACTGTAAGTAAAGATAATTTAATAAAGATGAAAACTAATTAGTTAATTATCTTAAATGGCAAACACAATTAGTAGCCTAGTTAAAAGTTTTTTCTCTAGAAGAAAAAAGCTAAGAGAAAAAAGGAAGAAGAGATAATACTTATTACACGTTATATATTAAGAGTGTGTTTTGTTAGAAGGAAAGATTAGTAAGTATGAAAAGCGCCAATTATATATAGGGAGGAAAAAGAGAGCTTGGGAAACAGAAATCCAATATGGGATCCAGCCTTTCTAATTTCATCTTTTTGATTTTTTTTTTTCATTTATTTGACATACATAGATTATATAGTAATTTTATGGCTAAAATTAATCATTCTAAGCTCGCAGTATTTTCTTTCACACTAATCTCCCTTCATCCTATTCTTCCTTTTTTTCTATCTCTCTTAATAAACATACCCCTAAAAAGAGCTTTAAAAGATGGTGTGGTATATGGGACCACTAACAATGAAAAATAAAATAAAATAAAGCGTGGTATATATAGTATGTAGCCCCTTATAGGGTAGTCTTTCCAAAAAGTAAATCTTTTATTGCATTGGGGAAAAAAAAGAAAAAAAAAAGGCCGGTCCAGCAAGCTAGCAAACTATAACTTGCGTGAGAATCTGCGATATGATCTTGATGGATGATTTTGTTTGTGATAATATGGAATTGCGGCTCCGTTCACTTCACCGATTCGAGTTAAGTTCTAAAAAATAATCACATTTAATTTTTTTATTACAGTAAAAAATTCTCACATAAAATCACATCTGAACTTAAATTATAAACTCGAATTAGCGAAGTTAACGGACCAGCATCTTTTATAAATTATAATTCAAGAGAAAGTTCCGTTTTCTAGCTAACTGTTCTACAGCTGGCTTTTGATTCAGCTTAATTGATAATGATCATATGAAGTGGCGACTTGCCGTCTAATTTCTCATAAAAACCAAAATTTATTGTGTTTGTTTTTGTACTTTTTATCTAGTCTAGACTATAAACAGCAGATTTTAATTCTTCTTGAAACAAAATAATTAAAAATTGAATGAAACAATCCCAAAGCTAAGAGATACATTTGACTATGGATATCTAGTAATTATTACAAAAAAAAAATAATGTTTTCAACAACTTCCATAATTGCTTTTAAAATAATGGTTTCAAATTCCATAATTTCATTGTCTTGTTTACTCTCCAGTTCAAATATTTGACGCAAGTAATAAATATGCTGGGGCCCCTCTCATCATTATAATTTTTAAGAGGATTTTACGGGTTTTTTTCGCTTTTTTCTTTTGAAGGTATGAATTTTATAGTTTAAATTGAAACTGTAAATTATTTTCTTACCTACTTTTCACTTAGGGAAAAATGTGAGCTTGAGATATTCAATGTATAGTACTTATTATAAATGAAACTAATAGAGCAGACCATAATATCTTAATTTCGTTCAATTATCTTCTAGTGTGAGTGTTTTGTCCCGTATAGATTTTTAAGAGTGTTTTAATACAAGCCTTGTTTGATGCACACAGTACTCCTACACATTCCTTGCGAACGTTATACATACATATATTCATATATTTATATGTATATTAAGCAAATTCTTGTCTATTTATTGTGGGACTAGGTAGCTAGCCAGTGGTTTTCCTTATTTAAAACAATATATATATATATATATATATATCATAAAAGGGTTTGTTGCTGCGATCTGTTCTCCAAATAAATATAGTTTGTCTACCTTCAGCCTTCCACTTCAAACACTAGTGTCTGAGATCCGCCATTCAAATTTTCAAATCGGACCTTTCATCTTCTTCTCCAGTAGTACCGCCAAAGACATGCTCAGATCATTTGCCAGGTTCATGATTTCTACTTTTCAATACGTATATTTTGATCTTAATTAATTTCCCTTCTCTGCTCATAATTTACGCCAATACACACACATACATAAATACATACATATGTGTGAGTCTGTGTGTGTGTTTTCTTGCAAAACTTGAGGTCTGAAAGTTGGGAAGTGTAAAATATGAAAAGGGGCATTTTCATGGATAAACATGTTGGTGTGTGTGTATATATATGCGATTAATTAATTAACGAGGATGTTTTTAATTAATTTATTCCGTTAATAATAAATCTTTCAGAGAATTTAAGTTGGTCGCCAATGGTTTGTTTTGTAAGGGCACAAGACTTCATTCAACTACGGCCTCTGGAAGGTAAGATAACTTCAAATTCGTTTATGTACTACTACTCCATCTCCGTCTTATGTCCTTTTTCTTTTCTCTTTCTTCCCCCCTCAATTTCCACTTCTTTTTTTCTATAGCTTAAAATCGTGTTTTAATTAATTGATTAAATAGTAGTGACATTTACTGGTATTTAGAACGTATATTCATCATATAGTTTTTTTCTCTGAAAATCATAGTTCTTATAAATCTAATATTTCAAAACAATGGATTCGTTACTTTGCCATTTAGATATATGCTCTATACTCGTATATATTTTCTTTGGACAAATTTTGAAATTCTATGTTGTGTGAAAGTAATTAGTACTATTTAACTTCCATGGCTAGGAGTCTTCTCTTTTACTTCTGGTATTTCTGACGATCGAGTTGTTTAAGTTCATATTTCTTTTTTTTTTTTTTTTTCCTTCATTTGGGGACTGTAGTTCCTTTGACTCTCTAGTATTTAATATTAATTGCCTCCTTTTTTTCCGGCAATTGATATATCAAATACATGCTGGTTTGTGATAGTACTTTTATGGATTTTTTTAATTTGATTTCAGTTTTTTTATACGTAGAATTGTTTTTACTTGTGTGTTTTGTCTTACCGATGGCCGGCCATTAGATATTGGATCTTGATTCAAACTTCAAAAAGGTTTTGCGTCTTGTCAAACATTTCCAAATTCATAAATAAATAAGTCAACGTCATGGCCACTAACATTTCAAAATTAATTTACATGTCTCTTTATTTACATGGATGGAGCTCAAGTATTTGCGTTGCTCGTTCTATATATATATATATATATATA